TTGATACATTCAGTACACACTGTGGCTGGGTTGATACATCCAGTACACACTGTAGCTGGGTTGATACATCCAGTACACACTGTGACTGGGTTGATACATCCAGTACTCACTGTGGCTGGGTTGATACATCCAGTACACACTGTGGCTGGGTTGATACATCCAGTACACACTGTGGCTGGGTTGATGCATCCAGTACACACTGTTGCTGGGTTGATACATCCAGTACACACTGTGGCTGGGTTGATACATCCAGTACACACTGTGGCTGGGTTGATACATCCAGTACACTCTGTGGCTGGGTTGATACATCCAGTACACACTGTGGCTGCGTTGATACATCCAGTACACACTGTGGCTGGGTTGATACATCCAGTACACTCTGTGGCTGGGTTGATACATCCAGTACACACTGTGGCTGGGTTGATACATCCAGTACACACCGTGGCTGGGTTGATACATCCAGTACACTCTGTGGCTGGGTTGATACATCCAGTACACACACTGGCTGGGTTGATACATCCAGTACACTCTGTGGCTGGGTTGATACATCCAGTACACACTGTGGCTGGGTTGATACATCCAGTACACACTGTGGCTGGGTTGATACATCCAGTACACTCTGTGGCTGGGTTGATTCATCCAGTACACACTGTGGCTGGGTTGATACATCCAGTACACACTGTGGCTGGGTTGAATCATCCAGTACACACTGTGGCTGGGTTGATCCATCCAGTACACACTGTGGCTGGGTTGATCCATCCAGTACACACTGTGGCTGGGTTGATACATCCAGTACACTGTGGCTGGGTTGATACATCCAGTACACACTGTGGCTGGGTTGATCCATCCAGTACACACTGTGGCTGGGTTGATACATCCAGTACACACTGTGGCTGGGTTGATACATCCAGTACACACTGTGGCTGGGTTGATACATCCAGTACACACTCTGGCTGGGTTGATACATCCAGTACACACACTGGCTGATTTGATACATCCAGTACACACTGTGGCTGGGTTGATACATCCAGTACACACTCTGGCTGGGTTGATGCATCCAGTACACACTGTGGCTGGGTTGATACATCCAGTACACACTGTGGCTGGGTTGATACATCCAGTACACACTGTGGCTGGGTTGATACATCCAGTACACACTGTGGCTGGGTTGATACATCCAGTACACACTCTGGCTGGGTTGATACATCCAGTACACACTGTGGCTGGGTTGATACATCCAGTACACACTGTGGCTGGGTTGATACATCCAGTACACACTGTGGCTGGGTTACGCACTTTGTGACTTACAGCTGCAACAAAACACTTCTGCTCATAGTAATCATTATATTTTTTTTATTAACACAATGGCAATTTTCCATCACGGCAGGATGACCCAAAAAAGAAGAAAAATTTTCATCATCATTCACTCCATCACTGTCTTGTCAGAGATGCACCTGCTACACTAAAGATAAAAACCTGCAATCTCAACACCCCTCCTTCAGAGCACAGGCACTGTTCTTCCCACCTCCAAGAGTCAAGTCCAGCTTGCCGTTTCCCTGAATCCCTTCATAAATGTTACCCTGCTCATACTCTAACAGCATGTCAAATCATATAAAACATTCATCTCCACTCGCTCCTATTTAACATGCTCATGCATGTGTGCTAGAAGTCCAAGCCCCTCACGCACAAAACTTCTTTTATTCCCTTCAACCAGCCTTTCATAGGCTGATCCCTACCCCGCCTTCCTTCCACTACAGGTTTATACACTCTCCAAGTCATTCTGTTTTGTTCCATCCTCTCAAAATGTCTGAACCACCTCAACAACCCCTCCTCAGCCCTGTGGATAATACTTTTAGCAACCTGCACCTTCTCCTAATCTCCATGCTACAGATTCTCTACATATAAGAGCATTGGTATAACTATGTACTCATACATTCCCATCTTTGTTTCCATGGATAACATTCTTTGTTAGGTAAAAGGACACAAGTGCAACTAATGTGACATTTTTATTGTGGCAACGTTTTGCTCTCCAGGAGCTTTGTCAAGCCGTTACAAACAGTACATGGACACAGAGGGTATGTATAGGCTCAGAGTGAGGTGCAATACTAGTGGCTTCAGGGACGCCCAATTAGTGATGAAAGAAACTAATTTCTGCAGACACAAGTGCCTTGAATCATCACTAATCGCTGCTTCTAATACAATTTAACAAAACAAAGGCAGCTTCACCATCTCTGAAGTTTTAACAAGAATTCTCCTGAAAACAGTAAACCCTGCCATCACATAGTCTCTCCTGTTAATACTACACAAGCACATCACAGAGAATGAATATTGAAACAGGCCTTCTCTATCCAGCCTCCTATAGAAATATTTGTCTAACCTATTTTTATGTTACCCAAGTAATAGCTTATATATCCTTTTACTCATGTGCAAGTTAATTGTTCTACCATATTGTATTATTACTACCACCACTAGTATTGCACCTCACTCTGAGCCTAAATATACCCTCTGTGTCCATGTACTGTTTGTAACAGCTTGACAAAGCTCCTGGAGAGCGAAATGTTGCCACAATAAAAATGTCACATTAGTTGCACTTGTGTCCTTTTACTTTACATACTGTCAGTAATTCTACCAACATTATTACAACATTCTTTGTCTTCACAGACTTCTCAATGCACCACTCGTCTTTTTCCCTCGTCTTTCATAGACCCCATCTGATGACAAGTCCACTCTCAGTTATCTGAATACATTAATAACAAAAAAAGGCACAATACCGTGACTGGAACAATACACAAATAACCCACACATAGAAGAGAGGAGCTTATGATAGTGTTTCGGTCCGACTTGGACCATTTACGAAGTCACACTGTGACTTTGTAACTGGTCCAAGTTGTACTGAAACGTCGTCGTAAGCTCCTCTCTTCTATGTGCGGGTCATTTGTGTATCTGAATACATTCACTTCCTCCATACTCCCTCATTCCAATCTGATTTCCAGTGTTTCAATACCAAATTTTTTTTTTTATCCTCATCACCTTACTCTTTCCTATGTTCACTTTGAATTTCTTTTTTTTACATACCCTCTGAAACTGTCACCAGTCACTGCAACTTCTCTTCAGAATCTCCCAAAAGCACAGTGTCATAAGCAAAAAGCAACTGTGACAACATCCACTTTGTGTTATTCTTTATCATTTAGTCCCACACCTAAAGCTTTCCAACACCCGAGCATTCACTTCTCTTACAACCCCATCCATAAATATATTGAACAACCATGGAAATGGGAAATGGGAAGTACAATGCCTGCACTCTAAAGGGATATTGGCAGTTTGGAGGGATATATTGTGTATTTTTATACGTATATATGTACTTCTAAACTATTGTATTCTGGGCACCTCTGCAAAAACAGTGATTATGTGTGAGTGAGGTGAAAGTGTTGGATAATGATGAAAGTATTTTCTTTTAGGGAATTTTCTTTCTTTATGAGTCACCCTGCCTCGGTGGGAGACGGCCGACTTGTTAAAAAAAAAAAAAACCATGGTGACATCACACATCCCTGTCTAAGGCCTGCTTTTACTGGGAAATAATCTCCCTCTCTCCTATATAGTCTAAGCTGAGCCTCACTATCCTTGTAAAAACTCTTCACTGCTTTCAGTAACCTACCTCCTATTCCATACATTTGCAACATCTGCTACAGTGTCTCGTTATCCACCCTATCACATGTCTTTTCCAATTCCATAAATGCAAGAAAAATCTCTTTACCCTTATCTGAATACTGTTCATCTATATGTTTTACTGTTAACATTTGGTTTACACATCCCCTACCCTTCCTAAAACCTCATTGTTCATCTGCAATCCTGCTATCCATCTTCCTCTTAATTCTCTCAATAATAACTCTACCCTACAGTTTACCAGGTATACTCAACAGGCTTATTTTTATATAATTTTTGCACTCTCTTTTCTCCTCTTTGCCTTTATACAAAGGTACTCTGCACACCCTCTGACAATCACTAGGTACCTTATCTTCCATACATTTGTTAAAATAAAACCACCAACCACTCCAAAACTATATCCCACCTGCTTTTAATATTTCTGTCTTATCCCATCAGTCTCAGCTGTTGTACCCCCTTTCAGTCTACCCACTGCCTCATGCACCTCCCTTACACTCACAACTGGCTCTTCCTCACTCTACAAGATGCTATACTTCCTTGTCCAATGCACACAATCACAAATTCTGTTCTCATCAACATTTAACAGTTCCTCAAAATATTCCCTCCATCTTCCTGATACCTCTAACTCTCTGTCTAATAACTCTTCTCTCCTATTTTCAATTGTCATATCCATTCTCTCCCTAGGCTTTCTCAGCTTATTAATCTCACTCCCAAACTTTTTCTTATTTTCAACAAAATTCATTGATATCTCACCCACTCTATCACTCTCCTTTTACATTCCTTCACCACTATCTTAATCTCTCTCTCTTTCTTTAAATACTCCTCCCTCCTTGTATTATTTCTACTTTGTAAAAAAAAACTTTTTTTTTTCTCTTACTACTCTCTTTACCTCACTATTCCACCAATCACTTCTTCTCTCTCGCACCCATTTTCCTGTAATCATAATTTGTAATTATTGTAATGATAAACATCTATTTTTCAAGAAGATCCACTTGTCTTACAAAGATTTCTTACATGATATGCTGAGAATCTTATTTACTCTGAAGTAACTGTTATTATGATGACATTATATACATTACTATTGATGTATATGATGTACATGACTAATGGTTGATATAGAAGCAACAGATAACTTGTGTTATATAAAGTATAAGAGAGAGGAGATGTGAGGATATTGCAGTGAGAGTATTATCTGAACTGTCAGGTCAACACACTTCTGCTAAGACTCATTGACTGAATGATGATGCATGTGTGTTTTTTTGTGTGTGAGCGTATGTCGGTGGGAGATTGCCATGTGTTAATTAAGTGAGGAATAATGTATGTTGTTTGTGTTGCAGGGATACTAATACCATCTTCCGTGGCAACACGCTTGTTTCCAAGTGTATTGATGAGTTGATGAAGCTGGTTGGTCACCACTACCTGCGCTCAACGCTCAAACCCACACTCGATCTCATCTTCCGTGAGCGTAAACCTTGTGAGATCGACCCAACCAAACTACAGCAAGGAGAAAGTCGAGAAGCAAACCTAACTAATCTTAAGGTATGTTTGTATTTAATACGATAGTTACCCTTCTTCCACTGGTGAAGGGCTCTTGATCCAAGGAAGAGAGAGCCAGGAAGCAAACCTAACTTAATATTAAATTTTTTTTTTTAACACATCGGCCATATTCCACTGAGGCAGGATGACCCAATAAGAAAAAAACAACAAAAAGAAAGAAAAACCCAAAAAGAAAGAAAAGCCCAAAAAGAAAGAAATATTAATTTAAACACAGGTCTTCATCAACATTCATGAGGGTTTAGGGGATCAAGAACCTCGTGAATGTTGAAAAATCGTGAATGTTTGGTGCCCCAATATATTGTAAGGAAATATAATACAATACTGCTTCCTTAACCTATTGAACCATGAACAATCATAAAACACATGAAAACATTGTAAAATATTGTGCTAGTGCCAGCCCTTTGGTAAAGAAGGTGAGAAAAACTATAGAATTCAAGAAAGAACTCGTAGCAGAGTACCAAAGTGGAGGAGGAAGTGATTCACTGATTCTGCGATATGTATGATACTAAAGCAGCAGGAGTCGATAAAGGCTATAGCGCCAACCAGCGATAAAATGTAGCATTAACAGTGTAGCAAGTAAGTGAAGCGATTAATCAAAAGAAAAAGGACAGCACGAACCTAACTCCTCCAATGTTGTTGGAGTTATATAGGGTGACTGACAACACCACCATCTCTAGTCTCTACCACCTCCACCACCACTATGTATCGCATATGTCTCAGTGGCCCTTATACACCCAACAACAACAACAACAACACAGCAACATTCGTGACATACTTAATGACGTATTTTATTCATTCTAGAGTATATGTCACTATTACAAAAAAAGTTATTTTTAAAAGATGGTAGTTTTACTCCTTTTGTAATAAAGAGTTCGGGATACATAAATACACACCTTAAAATAAATTAATCTTTAATATTATATAAAAATCAACTTTCTTTGGTCTAGAGGTATTTGAACTAACATCTGATAATATATACATGTTACAATAATAAATTATAATTAGGATTTTACAAAAATAATAAATAATTCGTGACCCTACACAGGGTACAACTCTCTTGACACTACTGTGTCTATATATATATATATATATATAATATATATATAATATATATATAATATATATATATATATATTTATATTATATATAATATATATATATATATATATAATATATATATATATATATATATATATTTTATATTATATAATATATATATATATATATATATATATATATATATATATATATATATATATATATATATATATATATATATATTTCTTTCTTTCTTTCTTTCAACACACCGGCCGTATCCCACCGAGGCGGGGTGGCCCAAAAGGAAAAACGAAAGTTTCTCCTTTTACATTTAGTAATATATACAGGAGAAGAGGTTACTAGCTCCTTGCTCCCGGCATTTTAGTCGCCTCTTACAACACGCATGGCTTACGGAGGAAGAATTCTGTTCCACTTCCCCTTGGAGGTAAGAGGAAATAAACAAGAACAAGAACTAGAAAGAAAATAGAAGAAAACCCAAAGGGGTGTGTATATATATGCTTGTACATGTATGTGTAGTGTGACCTAAGTGTAAGTAGAAGTAGCAAGACATACCTGAAATCTTGCATGTGTATGAGACAGATAAAAAAAGACACCAGCAATCTTACCATCGTGTAAAACAATTACAGGCTTCAGTTTTACACTCACTTGGCAGGACGGTAGTACCTCCCTGGGCGGTTGCTGTCTACCAACCTACTACCTAGAATATATATATTTTTTTTTTTTTTTTTTTTTTTTCAACAAGTCGGCCGTCTCCCACCGAGGCAGGGTGACCCAAAAAAGAAAGAAAATCCCCAAAAAGAAAATACTTTCATCATCATTCAACACTTTCACCACACTCGCACATTATCACTGTTTTTGCAGAGGTGCTCAGAATACAACAGTCTAGAAGCATACACATATAAAGATACACAACATATCCCTCCAAACTGCCAATATCCCAAACCCCTCCTTTAAAGTGCAGGCATTGTACTTCCCATTTCCAGGACTCAAGTCCGACTAAATGAAAATAACCGGTTTCCCTGAATCCCTTCACTAAATATTACCCTGCTCACACTCCAACAGATCGTCAGGTCCCAAGTACCATTCGTCTCCATTCACTCCTATCTAACACGCTCACGCACGCTTGCTGGAAGTCCAAGCCCCTACCCACAAAACCTCCTTTAACCCCCTCTCTCCAACCCTTTCGAGGATGAAACCCCTACCCCGCCTTCCTTCCCCTATAGATTTATATGCTTTCCATGTCATTCTACTTTGATCCATTCTCTCTAAATGACCAAACCACCTCAACAACCCCTCCTCTGCCCTCTGACTAATACTTTTATTAACTCCACACCTTCTCCTAATTTCCACACTCCGAATTTTCTGCATAATATTACACCACACATTGCCCTTAAACAGGACATCTCCACTCCTCCAACCGTCTCCTCGCTGCTGCATTTACCACCCAAGCTTCACACCCATATAAGAGTGTTGGTACTACTATACTTTCATACATACCCTTCTTTGCCTCCATAGATAACGTTTTTTGACTCCGCATATACCTCAACGCACCACTCACCTTTTTTCCCTCATCAATTCTATGATTAACCTCATCCTTCATAAATCCATCCGCCGACACGTCAACTCCCAAGTATCTGAAAACATTCACTTCTTCCATACTCCTCCTCCCCAATTTGATATCCAATTTTTCTTATCCAAATCATTTGACACCCTCATCACCTTACTCTTTTCTATGTTCACTTTCAACTTCTACCTTTACACACATTCCCAAACTCATCCACTAACCTTTGCAATTTTTCTTTAGAATCTCCCATAAGCACAGTATCATCAGCAAAAAGTAACTGTGTTCAATTCCCATTTTGAATTTGATTCCCCATAATTTAATCCCACCCCTCTCCCAAACACCCTAGCATTTACTTCCTTTACAACCCCATCTATAAATATATTAAACAACCATGGTGACATTACACATCCCTGTCTAAGACCTACTTTTACCGGGAAGTAGTCTCCCTCCTTCTACACACCCTAACCTGAGCCTCACTATCCTCATAAAAACTCTTTACAGCATTTAATAACTTACCACTTATTCCATATACTTGCAACATCTGCCACATTGCTCCTCTATCCACTCTATCATATGCCTTTTCTAAATCCATAAATGCAATAAAAACTTCCCTATCTTATCTAAATACTGTTCACATATATGCTTCAATGTAAACACCTGATCTACACATCCCCTACCCACTCTAAAACCTCCTTGCTCATCCGCAATCCTACATTCTGTCTTACCTCTTAATTCTTTCAATTATAACCCTACCGTACACTTTTCCTGGTATACTCAGTAAGCTTATTCCTCTATAATTTTTACAGTCTCTTTTGTCCCCTTTCCTTTATATAAAGGGACTATACATGCTCTCTGCCAATCCCTAGGTACCTTCCCCTCTTTCATACATTTATTAAACAAAAGTACCAACCACTCCAACACTATATCCCCCCCTGCTTTTAACATTTCTGTCATGATCCCATCAGTTCCAGCTGCTTTACCCCCTTTCATTTTACGTAATGCCTCACGTACCTCCCCCACACTTACATTCTGCTCTTCTTCACTCCTAAAAGATGGTATACCTCCCTGACCAGTGCATGAAATTACTGCCTCTGTTTCTTCCTTAATATTTAAAAGTTCCTCAAAATATTCTCGCCATCTACCCAATACCTCCATCTCCCCATTACAAACCCCCCTACTCTTTTTTTAACTGAAAAAACCATATTTTCCCTGGGGCTTTCTTAATTTGTTTAACCACCCCAAAATTTTTTTTTTTTCTTTAAAAATTTTCTTGACATCCCCCCCTCCCCACCTATAATCTGCCTCCTTTTGCACTCTCTCACCACCCCTTTTTCCCTTTCTTTTACCTCCATATATCTGCTCTTCTTATAAACTTCTGCTTTGTAAAAACCCTCAAAGCCCCTTTTTTCTCTTTATCACACCCTTATTTCTCTTTCCCACCAATCACCCCCTTTTTCCCTCCTGCCCCCACCCTCCAAAACCCACAAACTTCCCCCCACATTCAAACGCTTTTTAAAACTTTTCCAACCCCTTAAACCCCCCCACACCTCTTTGCACTACCCACCTTTCTCCCAAATATCGCTTATATCTCCCCCGAACTTCTTCCTCCCTTATTTAACACTTTCACCCCCTCTTACTTTTTTTTTGCCCCCTTTTCCCTTTTTTCCCTCTACCTCTTACTAAAACTGAAAGCAAAAACTAAATAATGTCCGATATATCAGTTGCCCCTCTAAAAAACCTGTACACCCTGGAGCCTACCCATAAACCCTTTTTATCCCAATAATATCTAAAAACACTTTCATTACGTGCTACATCATACCTTGTATATTTATTTTCCTCTTTTCAAAAAATAGATTACTTATTACCAAATTTTCTTTCAACATACTAAATTAAAGGGCCCCCCTTTTACATTTACCCGGGCCCCCCAAATTTACCTACTACTCCTTCCATAACATTTTTACCCATTTTAGCATTAAAAACCCCAACCCCCATTATCTCACACTTTTCAAAATCCCCCGCATTCACTCAACATTCCCAAAATCTCTCCTCCCTCTACCTTTCTCTTTCCAGGCATACACCTTTTTATAACCCCCTTTTTACATCCAACTTATTTTTACTCCACATAAAACCTTGAATTAATACTTTATATCCCCTTTCCTGCCCTACCCTTTCCTTCAACATTATTTTCTACTCCTTCTTTAGCCTAACCATTTTAAACCCCCGACCTAATCCCCTTTTTTCCTCTCCCCTGAAAATCTCCCACCCCTTTTAGCTTTGTTTCACTTAAAGCCCAAAACCCTTCTCTCATTCCTAACTCCACAATCATCTCTTTTCTTATCATCTGCACAAAAACCCCGCA